GAGGAAGGGTTGAGGGGGTGGAGAGGAGGGGTTGGGGGAGAAGGAAAAGGCGAGGGAGGGGTGGAAGGAGGAGGGTGACGGGGGTGAGTGGAGGAGGAGGGTGGGGGAGGAGGAGGAGGGAGTGAGAGTGGAGTTGTGGGAAGAGGAGGTGAAGGGGTGGAGGAGGAGGAGGAGGAGGGAGTGAGGGAGTGGAGGAGGAGGGGTGGAAGGGGTGAGGAGTTGGATGAAGAGGGTATGGAGGAGGAGGAGGAAGGAGGGAGGGGGGTGGAGGGGAAGACGAGGGAGGGGGGTGGAGGAGGAGGTGAAGGGTAAGGGGGTGGAGGAGTAGGAGGGTGAGGAAGGTGGAATAGTAGGAGGGTGAGAGGATAGAGGAAGAGGAGTGTGACAGGAGTGGATGAGGAGGCGGTGAGAGGGTGAAGGGGGAGGTGGAGGAGGAGAGGGGGAGGTGGGAGGAGGAATGAGGGTGGAGGTGGAGGATGGAGGAGGAGAAGTGAGTGAAGGAGGGTGAGGGGGGAGGAGGAGGAGGAGAGAAGGGTGAAGGGAGTGGAGGTTGAGGTGGAGGTGGGTGAGGTGGGTGGAGGATGTGGGTGGGAAAAGGTGGCAGGAGGGAGGAATAGGGAGGTGAAGGAGGGTGAGGATGGAGGGGGAGGAGGAGGACTCTGAGGGGGTGGATGGGGGGAGGAGGAGGGTAAAGTTTACCTGCATTACATACTAATTACATGTTCTGCATTATTCCACTGGAGTTGCACTGAGGTACAGAGGACCTGACTTACGCAATACGCGGAGACTTGTCTAGCATCTTGCAGCCACCGAAATACATTTTGTTTGTTTAATGGAGCGAGAAGTTATTATGTTGACTGCTTAGAAACTGAGGGATCCACTTGCTTACGATGATAAATATTCCAGTGAAAATATTGAAGACAATTTTAATGGTGATCTTGCCAGTATAATTATAAAAATGATATAGAATATTGACAAGTAGATTGACAGAACAAGTGTAGCAGTTGGGTATCTCTATTGTTATAACGTTTCGCCTACGCTGTAAGCTTCTTTAGTTAAATACAGGAGAATAAATATGGAGAGAACAGGACTAGTGGCTAGGTAAAGATGACGTAATCAGACCATCAACCTTGATGAAGGAGGTGGTGAGGTGGCCAGTCTCTGAGCCTGGAGAAGAGTTGTTGAGATGGCCAGTCTCTGAGCCTGGAGAAGAGTTGGTGAGGTGGTGGAGTCTTGAGCCTGGAGAAGAGTGGGGGAGTGGCCAAGTCTCTGAGCCTGGAGGAAGATGTTGTGTTGGAGATGGCCGTCTCTGAGGCCTGAGAAGAGTTGGTGAGGTGGTGAGTCTCTGAGCCTGGAGAAGAGTTGGTGAGGTGGCCAGTCTCTGAGCCTGGAGAAGAGTTGTTGAGATGGCCAGTCTCTGAGCCTGGAGAAGAGTTGGTGAGGTGGTGAGTCTCTGAGCCTGGAGAAGAGTTGGTGAGGTGGCCAGTCTCTGAGCCTGGAGAAGAGGTGGTGAGGTGGTGAGTCTCTGAGCCTGGAGAAGAGTTGGTGAGGTGGTGAGTCTTTGAGCCTGGAGAAGAGTTGGTGAAGTGGCCAGTCTCTGAGCCTGGAGAAGAGTTGGTGTGAGGTGGTGGTGGTGGTGGACGTCTTGAGCCTGGAGAAGAGTTGCTGAGGTGGCCAGTCTCTGAGCCTGGAGAAGAGTTGGTGAGGTGGTGAGTCTCTGAGCCTCTAGAAGAGTTGCTGAGGTGGCCAGTCTCTGAGCCTGGAGAAGAGTTGGTGAGGTGGTGAGTCTCTGAGCCTGGAGAAGAGTTGTTGAAATGGCCAGTCTCTGAGCCTGGAGAAGAGTTGGTGAGGTGGTCTCTGAGCCTGGAGAAGAGTTGGTGAAGTGGCCAGTCTCTGAGCCTGGAGAAGAGTTGCTTTCCATAATCTGGAACAATGTGAAGCTGATGCATCAGAATAGATCTTATATAATGCCGAAGGTAAGGCGTAAAAAGTTGCGAAGACGTTGCCTGGGGAGTACAATGCTTGTACTTTAAAGAAGTGGTTTTAAACATTGGCAGTTTGGAGGGGTATGTTACATATCTTTATATATGCTTCTAAACTGTTGTATCTGAGCGCCTCTGCAAAGACAGTGATTATATACGAGTGAGGTGAAAGTGTTGAATGATGAAAGTATTTTCTTTTAGGGGATTTTCTTTCTTTTGGGGTCACCCTGCCTTGTGGGAGACGCCCCCCGACTTGTTGAAACTATATATATATATATATATATATATATATATATATATATATATATTATATATATTATATATATATATATATATATATATAATATATGTGTGTGTGTGTGTGTGTGTGTATATTATATGTATATATATTATATATTATATATATATATATATATATATATATTCTATTATATGTTATATATATATATGTGTGTGTGTGTAATATATATATTATATTAATTATATATATATATATGGAAGGGTTCGCTGAGTGGTAGTCTGAATGTAGAGAGAATGGAGCGAAACAGAATGACTTCAAGAGTGTTATCAGTCTGTAGTGGAAGGAAGGCGGGTAGGGGGTCGGCCTAGGAAAGGTTGGAGGAGGGGGGTAAAGGAGTTTTGTTCGTGCGAGGGGCTTGGACTTCCAGCAGGCGTGCGTGAGCGGGTTTGATAGGATGTGAATGGAGGACGAATGGTTTTTAATACTTGACGTGCTGTTGAGTGTGAGAAAAGTAAAATTATGAAGGGAATCCAGGGACAACTGGCAGGCAGGACTTCAGTCATGGGACGGGATGTACCTGTGCCTGCACTCTGAAGGAGGGTGTAAATGTTGCAGTTTAAAAACGCAGTGTAAAGCAACCCTCTGGCAAGACAGTGATGTAGTGGAATGATGGTTGAAAGTTTTTTCTTTTTCGGGCCACCCTGCATTGGTGGGAATCGGCCCGATGTGCTAATATAATAATATATATATTATATATAATATATAGATATATATATATATATTATATATAATATATATATATATATATATATAGATAAGGAGTACCCACTCTTAGCTAGAATGGGGACCCCTTTCCTCAGAGAAGACAATAAACGTACCTCAGGGAAAACTCAAGGTCTCTCAGGAGCTGTTTGAATTTTTTCTTCTCCTACCACCCCCTAAATTTTATATTCTATGTGAACATTTATTAATAAAACAGAATACATTTACAGAAAAACAGACATGAATACCAATGGTACAATGTATTAAAGATCCTGAATTTCCTCAGCTACCTCCGAAGCGGTCGCAAGCCAAGCAATGCAGCAAGCATTTACCCTCTGGATGGCCACGCTGAGGCGCTTGGAACATTGAAAGTGGCTGCACTGGATCCTGGTGGTGTCCATGAGTCTGGAACCAATTCTTTAATATATATATATATATATATATATATATATTATATATATATTATATTTATATAGATAAATATATATATTATATATATATGCAATAAGATAACAGTAAACAGGTGATTTTAAAATATGCAAGAAAAGAATTAACCCCAAAAATGCTGATGGCTGTGTTTATAAGATTCCTTGTAAAATTTGCGATAAAGTTTATTACGGTTCAAACTGGTAAAAATCTCGTACTTAGATTAAAAAACAACCATAAATATAGCATTAAGAAAACTGGACAAGTTTCATTGCTCTATTTATTCATGTGAGAGACTTACCCATCAATTGAATTTTCAAAAAGTTGACGAAAGTTGTATCAACAAGTCCATGGTGGGACCAGAAATATAATTGAATCTTGTTTCATAAAAAGCAGTGTTGGAAAAAAAAATAATAGTTGAAATATTTCCTTAGGTTTATATAAATTAGATTCATTGTAAATTAATAAAATTAGGTTAGAGTTTAATAACATTGGACAAATAATAAACCTTATTTCTTGGGTAGAATTATTTGTTAGTGGGATTGTCGTGTGACCCTCTAGTTGAACCAGCGGACCTACTGCAGTGTCTTCTTTTCTTATGAGTCGGTATTGTCCCGAGTCATGGTGTTTCTTTGTTGTGGGAGTGACTGTGAGGTGTGGTCTAAGCCCTTTAATTGCCTTCCTTGTTGTGATTTACTTTCATAGTTCCTAGACAATGTAGAGTCGTCACGAAAGCGCTTGGAATTTCAATACTCTTTTCACAGTGGTTGTTTTGCAATATATATTATATATATAGTATATTTATATATATATATATTTATATATTATATATATATATATATATATATATATCTATTAATATATATTTATATTTATATTATATATATATATATTATATATTTATATTTAATATATTTTATAGATTATATATATTTATATATATACCAGTACTGTAACACAGAAGACCAGTACATTACAGTACAGTAACACAGAAGACCAGTACATAACAGTACAGTAACACAGACCAGTACATTACAGTACAGTAACACAGAAGACCAGTACATTACAGTACAGTAACACAGAAGACCAGTCCATTACAGTACAGTAACACAGAAGACCAGTACATTACAGTACAGTAACACAGAAGACCAGTACTGTACAGTACAGTAACACAGAAGACCAGTACATTACAGTACAGTAACACAGAAGACCAGTACATTACAGTACAGTAACACAGAAGACCAGTACATTACAGTACAGTAACACAGAAGACCAGTACAGTACTGTACAGTACAGTAACACAAGATCACCTGCTCCTTTTTCTCATACCATCCTTACCTATCCTTCTTGCTCCCCAATTTACCAAGACTATTAAATAGACCGGAGCCCCAGAGGATGAGTCTGAGATGAACAATAACATAACCAGTCAGTCAACACACAGCAGTGATGACCATGGCTCACAGTTCAGCTCCACACTTACATCAAGGCTATATCAATCTGGGCGGAGCACTCCAGCTAACATAGAGCTGGTGGTACGGGCAGTCAGTAGTTGAAGAGCCAGTGTTGCAGTGAGACAGGTGGGCAGTGCCCGTAGCATCACTCAGACACGGTGGGTATACTACGTGTGGTAGGCAGTAAGTTATTGCAGCTGGGACCGCCGCAATAACACAAGTGTCTTGTGCTTGCAGCTGCACTGTCGTGAAACCTAGTTGTTTTACAATTGTTACAGGTCAGTGATTGTTTTATACTTATGAATTCTGCGCAGTATTTTTTATGTGATATCTTAGGAAAACAGTGGCTCCGATAATAATTAAACAAATAAAAAAATATTTCATCTTGAAAAGACGTGCCCTGGAGACAATGTATTGTACCAAGGTTGACTAGTGAAAGATGAGTCGCCTGTGGTCGCTGGGGCGGCGGACTGAGTAACAACTCCAGGAGTGTCGGCTTAACATTTTGAATGTGCGATAGACATAACAAGTAATAAGGTATTGAAATTTAGACATCTAAATGGGACCATGATATTAATTTATTATTTAGAAAACCGCGTCCAACACAGGTAAGCCAGCGGTAACTGCTGCCATGGCCTGCCTTTGCCTTACTGGCAACGCTATTTACACATGACATTAGAAAACACTGCCTCGTCGCATGTCTTCGCCACTTAAGCTCATCTCATGTCAATCGCCTGAGGCACGAATAGTATCCTGGCACTTAAGCTAACTAGATGAATTTCGTTCGCTGTGCCATCCGAGAAAGATATCCTAGTATTGCACAATGTACCGAGTGCCTGAGTGCAAGTGGCTGGATGAGTGCCAAGTGCCTCGTAAGATGAAGATTGACTTAAAATATTTGAAGCTGTATAGGAAAGGCATTCAAAAGTCAACAAATGAAAACTAAAATCTCAATTTCAACAACGAAAATGACAAATTAGGGAAAGCGCTAAACCAACAGGGGTCATATAGCGCCTGCGAAATATGAAGCATCAAGGACTCGTTACAATGACTGGAAAGCTAAGCCCACTTCAGTGGTAAAATAATACTGGATAAAAAGAGGCTTCCCGAAGTTATCACGCGGGAATAATCTTTAGGAAGAGACTATGTAACACTGAGAGACACTTTGTAATAGTTGACCACCAAAGTTAAAAGTTTGTAGAGAATGGGATAAGGAGTTCCCAAGTTATTAACGAATAACTTGAAGAACTTTAGTGTAAAATTGAAACACTGTATCTAAAAATGTGTTTGGTCAAGCGTTAATTAAGTCGAACAGTTGTATTCTATTTACTGTAAAACTGTTTACAATCATCTAAGAAAAATACTTGATTTTGCGGTTTTTTTTTTTAAGACAGTCCAATTTGATGAAAACAATAAATTAAATTGAAAAGACAAACATAGATTCATCTTAAACACCTGAAACTGACCATAACAGTTATTCTATAGTTAGAATATGGAAAAAAATATTGAATAAAACTGTCAATTTAAAGTGAAAGCCGAGTAATCTTTTAAAAAGTCCATCAAAACTAAAAGTTTGAAGCCTATCCGAAAAGGCATTCTTCTGTAACTTCTCAGAATCCAACACATAATTTATTTAAACAATTTCATTAAAATTTCAAGTTTTGGCATCAACAGTCAACTTCGTTAATACTTGTAAGAATTCCTCAATTATTAATTAGAAATTGAAATCCGTTTAATAAAATTGGAAAAATATGGAGTGGTGCAGCCTAGTATGTCAACCAAATTTGCTTCCTGAGAAACAGCGGCAGAAAATAAAGTTATATGTTGCAATTACTGGAGGAGAATATTTCTTTTAGAAATATTCTCCAGTTATTACAAGGATTCCAGTGATTCCAAGTTTTATAAACTAGTTTTAATATATTGGAAAATTTGCCGTCAAGCTGATCAAACTTAATGGGTATTATCCTGGCCCTATGAGGCAGCAGCCAGTAAATATTGAAGATATTCAGCAGAGGAATACTCAAATATTTTTAACATATCAAAGGTTCACCCATAAAGTTTATAACATTGACAGGTGCACCAATACGCATGATTTTCAGTCTTCGACCTTGATGAATTAAAGGAACTTATTTTGAACCGTTGATGTCACACCGTTCAGGGTTTTGCAGGTTAACGAATCCGGTGCTGATGGGCACCTGGGCCAGGTTCTAGGAACGCTTGCTATGTGTAGTTACCCTGTGAAGTTATAGGACCTATTCTCAGTAGAGAATGGGCCCTATCTATTCCCAGTAGGGAATGGGTCCTACCTATTCCCAGTAGGGAATGGGTCCTACCTATTCCCAGTAGGGAATGGGTCCTACCTATTCCCAGTAGGGAATGGGTCCTACCTATTCCCATTAGGTACTGGGTCCTACAACTTCATAGGGGAACTGCACATAGCAAGCGTTCCTAGACTTGAAAAGTTGAAATCTATCGGATAAGGTCTTCTTGTGTTATGAGCAAAATGAAAATGAAAGTCGGAGGGAAAAAAATGAAAATAAAAGGAAAGAAATCGGGCAAAAACTTAAGAGTTTTACTTTCTGGATACATAATGAAAATAACAATGAGTGTGGAAAAGTGTGGCAGCTGGTTGTGTGGCGACTGTCTGATGTTCAACATAACTGTACCACACTAATTATACTATCATACCTTCCTTTATGTTATGATGGAGATTAATTCAGTGTATTCACGAGTGCGCGCGCGCACACACACACACACACACACACACACACACACACACACACACACACACACACACACACACACACACACACACACACACACACACACACACACACACACACTGACGACACTGGAGGACAGGAGGGTTAGGGGAGACATGATAACAACATATAAAATATTGCGTGGGATAGACAAGGTGGACAGAGACAGGATGTTTCAGAGATGGGACACAGAAACAAGAGGTCACAATTGGAAGTTGAAAACCGTAGAGTAGTCAGGAAGTGGAATAACCTAGCAAGTGAGGTAGTGGAGGCAGGAACCATACATACCTTTAAGATGAGGTATGATAAAGCTCATGGAGCAGGGAGAGAGAGGAGCTAGTAGCACTCAGTGAAAAGGCGGGGTCAGGAGCTGAGTCTCGACCCCTGCAACCACAGTTAGGTGAGTACAATTAGGTGAGTACACACATACATACATACACACAGGGAAATACCAGGAAGTATGTGAAGAGTTCAGCACAAGATTTAGGAAGGTATTCACAGTGGAGACAGAGAGGCTGCCAGGAAACCGAGGGGGTAGCAACACTAGCAAGTGAACCGTGGAGGAGGTGAAGCAACTGCTAGGTGAACTTGATACCTCGAAGGTGGTGGGCCCAGATAAAATCTCTCCGTGAATTCTGAGAGAGGGAGGAGATGCACTGCGTGCGTCGCTGATAACAATCTTCTGTGACAACAGGGCAACTACCTGAGGTATGCAAAACAGCAGACGTAGTCCTAATTTTTAAGAAAGGAAACGGATAGGCAGCATTAAACTACACATCAGTGTCACTGACATGTATTGTATGTATAGTTATGGAGAAGATTATCAGGGAAGAATGATGTAGCACACAGAAATGACCGGGATCATACGCGACAACCAGAACAGCTTCAGGAGAGGGAAATCCTGCGTCAGAAACCTACTGTAATTCTACATGGTAACGGAAATAAGACAAGAGAGACAGGGGGATGGGTAGACTGCATCTTCTTTGACTGTAAGAAGGCTTTCGACATAGTACCACACAAGAGACTGGTTGGAAAGCTAAAGGAGTAGACAGGAGTAACCAGAAAACACTACAAGGGATTAGGAAATTCCTAACAGGAAGGAAACAACCTGTGTTGGTACGTGACAAGATGTTAGAGTGGGCACATGTGTCGAGTGGGGATCCACAAAGGTCAGTCCTAGGTCCGGTGCTGCTTTTTGTATATGTGAATGACATAACAGAAGGAAAAGATTCAGAGGTGTTGCTGTTCATAGACGATGTGAAACTAATGAGGAGAATACAAGAGGACGTGGCCCAGGCAAACCTGCAAGGGGATCTGGAAACGCTGTAAACCTGGTCCAACAAATGGTTCCTTGAGTTTAACCCTGGCAAGTTCAGTCATGAAGCTTGGGGAAAGACAAAGAACACCGCAGACAGAGTATAGGCTAGGGGGGGATCATAGGCTGCAAAACTCACTCAAGGAAAAGGATCTTGGGGTGAGCATCATACCGAGCACATTTCCGGGGGAACACATCAACCAAATAATTCCTGCAGCATATGGGTAGCTGGCAAACCTGAGAATAGCGTTTCAAGACACTCGAAATCGTAATGACACGATTGCAAACAAACCATACCACGGGCGTTTCAACATCTAAGTAATTAGTCATTCAAGACACTGTACACTGTGTACGTCACACCCATATTGGAGTATGCAGCACCAGTGTGGAACCCACACCTGGTCAAACACGTCCAGAAATTGGAGAAAGTGCAAAAGTTTGCAACAAGTCTAGTCCCGGAGCTAAACCGAATGTCGTACGAGGAGAGGTTAAGGGAACTCAACCTGACGACACTGGAGAACAGGAGGGATACAAAAGACATGATAACGATGTGTAAAATACTTCGATTAATCGACAAGGTGGACAGGGCCAGAATGTTTCGGAGATGGATGGAAATAAGATGATAGATGAACAAGGAGTCATATCTGGAAGTTAACAACTCAGATAAGCCATAGGGATGTTAGGAATTATTTCTTCAGCCTTAGAGATTTCAGGAAGTGGAACAACCTGGAGAGTAAAGTAGTTGAGGCAAGATATATACGTAGCTTTAAGATGAGGTATGATAAGCCTCTTGGAACAGGGAGAGAGTGTGGACCTAGTAGCGACTAGCGAAGAGGCGGGGTCAGGAGCTATGACTCGACCCCTGCAACCAGAAATAGGTGAGAACACATGCACACACGCACACACACACACACACGCACACACGCACACACACACACACACACACGCACACACACACACACACACACACACCGACGCGTGGGTCCGTGGGGTGCAGACGTGGGTAACAAGGCTCTGAGAACCTTAGCGTTGAAAGGCGTGCAATAACAGCTAGAAGTAATCAGTGGCAGTGGAACGTCGTGATACAACTTACTTACGAGTGATAATTAAAGTTATTTAGTTAAAGAAAGTGAGAGGAAGCTGAAATCATAATATTTCAAAGCGCAAACCGTTGGGGGTCTTAGGCGCTTGTTGCCACTGG